CACCCACACACCCGCGTATATACCCACACACACACACACCCACACACCGACACCCATACCAACACCCACACTCATACTAACACACACACACGCATACCAAGACCCACACACCCATACCAACGCCCACACGCACACCCACACCCACACCCACACCCACCCTTTGGCTTCTTGTCTAAGTTTTTGATCACTAGTGACTATCAGAATCATTATCTCAGCGTGAAATATACGATTAAGGAGATAGAAAAAAATCAAATTCATGTCATTATTGAACATTTTCTTCATCAATTTATTTTATTTAATGGAGAATTTATTACTCATTTGTACTAAGACAAACGAAAGAAATCTAAAATAATCATTAATTGAGAATGTAACGCTTTCATAACGAAGTTAAATTGAGTCCGATTAAGTTTCTCTAATTATGACATAGATTGACTTCTATTCCTATAAACACTAATTTTCAACGTGAGTTAATGTTTATATTTTTAGCAATATATAACAGCCATTGGAAATCTTCAATATATAAGTATTTGAATTGAACCATCATTGAAAATATATGAGCAAATATATTTGGAAATACTCTAACATAAGTCTTATATCAATGATGATAAATCAAAAACAAATTAATCTTGTTTAGATTTCTATTGATAATAAAACAGTATAACAGAAAAAAAAGTATCATGGTGTTTTATTCGTTGAATAACTACTTACTTTTATTAGAAAGCTGTCTTATCATGTAGATGTTACGAAAAAGTCATTGATTACAGAGTAGTTGGCTGTGGAGAACGTTGCACTTTAAATTTGTACCAAAGAAAAATTGAAAAGAAACAACACTTTTTTCTTTCGATTATTCCATGGGTGTGGGAGCGGATGAAACAAAGTCTATTGTGACATCACACATTTATAGTCGCATCCGCATCCAATAACAAGGGGAATATTGAGACGTAATTAAACAAAGCATTTAACAATTCGGACTCTTAAGATTTATTTTATTTGGAAACAGTTGAAAAATAATTCACTTCTATCTATATAAAAAAATTGGAAAATCGTCTATAGAATTATTCATGTAATGTTGAGAATTAATGTTGCAAATTTCGGAGAATTTCTATGGCTTTATTGATTGTTTCGTCTTTCTAAAAAAAGAACAATGAATGATAAGAGAAATGAATGACTAGTTATAATTTCAAATTACTTTCGCAAAACAAAATCGAACATAATTTTCTGCCAAATGCCGATCATTACTCGTATAGAAACCAGTTAGAGGATAAAGAGCAAGTCCCTAAAAAAAAGTACGGTTATGATCGCAGAACAGCTGTACAATTTCTTTTACTATTACTTTTTCTTTGGCTAAATGCATAACGAACTTTGTGGCCTTGTTACTTGTTTCGTCCGATTGAAACCGATCTCCGACTATCAATGATAGAAATATTGAGCAGTATGCATTCTATTGAACAATTTCCTTACCGACTCCGCTAATATCTGCTACAAGAAAATAGCCACCATCAGGTACGATAGGCTTCATTCCACATTCACACAGACTTTTTGCTAGTCGATCCCGTCTATCGATGAATTCCGTTGAAATCGAATTGAAAAAAACATTTCGGTGAATTGAACCGTTTTTCTTCATGTTCAAAGCATCGAGCGACGACTTCTTGTATTACCGTCGGAATCACGTACGTACCGTTCTACGATCGAAAACATAATCAAACTGTCTACTGATATCAAATGCAAAAAAGAAAGGGACGAACTATGCATGATTCGATAGAACTTTTCTTGTCAATTTCGAATAGAGTATTTCTGCAATTGTTTTTGAAACGAATGAAACCTTTTCCATACTATGGAAAATTTTGTGCTGTTTATCTCTCAACCTCTAATTACCATGTAAGATGCGAAGTTCAATTTTGAAGAAATGATATAAATGCTAACTCGAACAATTCGAACGTTTAGGCAACTGTGAATTGGATATGAATGAACCTGCTAGTGTTGGGAAAAAGCTGTTTTAACATTTTTCGAGAATTTAAAATAAAATTTGTTGAAAACATGCAGAATTTTACGTAGAATGGTGTAAACATAGCTGAAATTCTACCGATTGAAGAATAATAGGCCAAGCAAATGCAATAACCGACTACTATTGATGAGCTTCCGCTCGTATTTTGTGGATTTCTTATCTAAATCGTGTTTTTGAAGAAATAAAATGTGTCACATTCAGGATCAGCATAGTATGTGCAAGATTTCACAGAGAAAAGTGTTAGTTTGTTCTTGTATCTACTAATGTAGTTTTTTTTTAAAGAAGACGAAGAATTTGTATATCTGTACAATACTATGTCGGTAAACTTTCAGAACGATTTGTTATTTTCCTTATTAATAAACAAAGTTAGTACGATCGGTTTACAATTTTTCTCTTGTGATTCTTTAGAAAAACAAAAATAAATATAGCATCGATAGTAAAAGTTTTACTGTGTTTACAATTAAACAAATACTTAAAATATTGCAAAGTAAAACCATCATCAAGACTAATGCAAAAATATACTATTCTAATTCTCTGCCATCTCATCTATGTGCCAAGATTGAGTACAATTTATTCTGCAATATGCGTCACTATAAAAAAAAAGAATACCTGATGAACAGTAAGACATGCTTCAATCAAATCTTCTGGTCCGATTGTCCAACCTGTTTTCAGTCCCGTCGAAGAAAATACTTTTCCTGCACTGCCAATCGTCAATGTTCTTTCCCACATATTCGGAAGGGTTGCCATTCGAATGTGTTTGTTCTCATTGCCGTAAATCATAAATTCGTAAACTTCATCCGAAATACAAATGACATCGTACTTCTGACACAAATCAGC